TATGATGGGTGACCCCCTGAGAAATTTTATTGGAAAGTGTGCGAGTGAGAATAAAGCATACTGAAAAAATCCATATTGGTACAATGAGGACAGTAGGTCGTCGATCTAACGGTCGGGACAGCCCTTTTAGTGGGACCCGTATCGTTACACCAACCTTCATACACAACAAACTATTAGGTCAGTGGTAAAGCTCTTCATAATATTTATTTTTTAAAGTTCTCTTCTAGTTCATTTGGAGGCTTATTTCGAATTTGAACAATTGAGGTATTTGAATTGTTGTGTTCATTTACATTGAAAATATGAATCAATATATATTAGGATGAAAGATTATGAAGTAATATCATGAATCGATAATTATTAGGATGAAAGATCGTGAAGTTTCTACCAATCCATGTGTGGAGAAAGAACTATTACTTTGATGCCAATGGAGGCCTTTTGTAATGGAAAATATAAAAAGGTCTCTTTTCACTTTGAGATAAATAGAAAGGACTTTTTGAAAAAAATAATCCCAATTTTATTGGATTTCTATAATTTCTGGAATATGGACAGGATTCTATGGAAGATTTTATTAATAATTTGTTTATTCTACTTTCCATCTATTGCTCCTTTTGTCCTTGTCTTTTTGAGAATTTAAGCAGAGTTCATTTTTAAGTTGGCTCAACCTAGGGCTGCAGGTTTGACCACATGTACACGCTACATCTCGCAGAATACTAACAAAGTTAAGCCCATGTTTGTCTACCATTAATCCAAAAAATTATTTGCTACAGTAAGTTTCTCCACCACACATTCACCCAATAAAATATTCTACACACAAACCAATAAAGTTACTTTAATTTTCAACCACACATTCTCCAAAAAATACTATTCATTACACTAGTTGTTGCGGGTTCACGACGGGATTCTGGTTTTTAAAACTATTCTTTGAATGAATAAATGAAGTATCATGTACTGTGTGATTTCTTGAATTCGGCAGGGCCGTAGCTTGTACGAGCAAGGATGAAAAAATTATTCAATGCAGTTTTTTGTCCCTTGATTTCTTTTGTTACTTATGTAAAGTAATTTTCAAGACACGAGATGATCATACCCAAAAGTTAAAGCATTAAAATACGGTAGTATATGATATAATCAAATCATATTTATTTGATATGGTAATAAATAAATTTAAAGAAAATTTAATATTTAAACCAATATTTTCTTAACATTAATTATTTAACCCCTTATCCACATTCTCTCGTTTAAATCCACATTAGGTAAATGTAAATCCGTCGAAGTTTTTCTACGTGAATTTGAATTCTACTTTCACCTTTTTTTTTGTAAGCAAAGAGGCACCCAGCAATGTAGGAAGGGCAACGAAGTGAAGAAACCCTTTTCTATTTTCTTATATTGTGAAGTGAAATTACATCACAAGGTGTTAGTTAGAGAGGCTAGTCAATTGTTACAATGTTTAAATTTCCCGTCCACATACCTAAATCCAATGTGAATACAAGTCAATGTCGTTGGCCTCAAATTCCTATCCACCCAACCTCTCTCCATATTCAATTTTCTCCAGCATTCGAAAAATGGCATCTAATTGAGCTAAGTATATTGATAATGGAATAACCAACAAGAGGTTTAGCGTCAACTCATCCAATGAATCTTCTTTCATTCACCATACGGTTGGATTCTACGTTGTATTCTCCTAGACTAGGACTCACTAAGATAGCGAATAGGACAACCTCGAATGGGATTTCGACTTCGATGGGGTTTACAAATTTGCTCTAGGTGTGACAGGAAGATGTAGTTATAAACTCTTTATCCACTTTGAATAGGAATAGCTACAAAGCCCTTTTACCTGGAAACATTAAAAATCTGATAAATGAATGATGAGTGTGACTCGCTAATTGTTTTATTGCCTCTTAAACTTGTTATTTTCATTATCTTTAAGAGTTTTTAGGATGTTTTAATGTGTGTTTTAACATTGTTTTATAGGTTAGGTGAATTAGTGTGAATGGTGTAAAACTTCGAGAAAAGAATAATGTTGGCATGAATCAAGGAGAAGCTGACGTTGGTTTGGTGAAACTCGATCATTAGGGGCTAAATTGAAAGAAATAAATGAATAACGATGAAATCCAAAATTTGAGGACTCAATTGTAACTTTTCAATAGTTGATTCAAACCACAAAAAAGATAATTGAAGATTGTTAGAAATAAATCAAATGTAATTAAAAGTCAAAAAAGAGTGAAATATGATCAAAATATCTTCACAAATCAATTCTCAACTGCACAAGCATGTTCCGGATTTTTAGCTGGAAATTAAGACATATTTTTGACATAGTAAATGTTCAAACTAGAAAAATCCATTTGAAGCAAAGTTGTAGCTCATTGAGTTATCTTTCTAACGCATTTTGAACAAACAAAAATGATAATGGTTGAGGCAATAGTTCGACTATTTCTCCTTAAGGCGATAATGCCCCATAATGATACTGACGGTATTCCGACACTCGTCTCCCAAGATACAACAACATCGACTTATAATAGTAGTACCCCAAATTATAAGACCCAGCGAACCTACTAACATTTTTGATCTCTCTAAAATTGGAGAATTAAAATGTACGAAAATAACTTTCGAGACCAAAATGTAAAATATGGAATAATGAAGGAATGAAGGAATATAATTTGCAAGAGATAGAAATCAGAATTGATTTTGGAATGAATAAAATCTGGGGTATATGGACATTTATATAGAAATTGAAAAGTTATGTCCAAAAGACACAATAATTGAAAAGTTGGGTCTTAAACAGACACAACCCGTTTGGACGGCAATTCGACCGTCAACCACCAGTTTCTAGAAGAAGACACGTGTCGCATACGAAAAATTCGGGGACAATCAATAATATAAATAAATATATTATTTTAAATAATAATAAAATATTATAATTGAAATATTATTTTACCAAAAAATATATACCAACTTGGCCCATGCCCAAGACCACGAGCCACAACTCGTGCCAAGCCGAGCCAACCGATCTTATGGACGACCGCACACGTGAGTGGGCTTTGGCTAAACTTCGTAGCATGTAGGTTCTTTCATCTTCAAAGACTATTGGTACCACTTTGGGCCTAAATTCAAGTCTCAAATTTGAGCAATGTAAAGTGATTTATATTCTTCTAGTTTT